CCCCATTATTACCCATTGGTTCGTGTTTTATCACCTCACCCAAAAACATTTATGTCATATCACCTCACCCAAAAACAAATATAAGCATGAAACGAAGTACATAAAAATCTGTCTTTGAAAATGTGAGGAGTCTCTTATGACTTTGCAACTGATGTACAGAATCCCTTAACCACCCGACCATCACGACCGGACAAAAGAGGATGGTAGCCGAGGCTAATTCCCCATCCTCCCGCCGGCACTCTGATGGTAATCTTGGGCATGGTATTTTATGAAATCACCTCATTCTTTGGGACACACGTGAGGAACACAAATGCGAACAAACCTGAATAATCTCCAGGCATATATGCAACTGAAAACTCACACCCCTAGAAGTGACTCGAACCCATACTGCCAGAAGCAATGCAACTGATGTGCCCCAAAGAATGAGGTGATTTGATAAAATACCATGTCCAAGATTACGTTTAGAGTGCCGGCGGGAGGATGGGGAATTAGCCTCGGCTGCCATCCTCTTTTGTCCGGTCGTGATGGTCGAGTGATTAAGGGATCCTGTACATCAGTTGCAGAGTGCTTCTGGCAGTATGGATTCGAGTCACTTCTGGGGTGTGAGTTTTCAGTTGCATATATGCCTGGAGACCATTCAGGCTTGTTCGCATATATATATATATATATATATATATATATATATATATATATATATATATATATATATATATATATATATATATATATATATATATATATATATATATATATATATATATATATATATATATATATATATATATATATAATGTCTCTCCTACATTGACAGTGTAAGATAGCTGGTATAGAACATTCATGTTATATTTAGCAAGTTTTCTTGTTGACAATTTCGGTGGTGACGTCACAATGTTTACAAGAACACTGATAAGAGTTACCAACCCGTCGTCCCTGGGTGTGCCAGAGGTGTGATAATACTGAGAACACTAAAGATTTTATCTCTGGCATTTCGCAAATGAAAAGGAATTATGTGTTGTTTAACTTTATGTCACGTAAAGGAAACGCATTTTGCATGTGTTGGGAGGGAGCGGGTACTCGGTGTGGGTGTGTGGCAGTGTGTGGTGGGAGGGAGCGGGTACTTGGTGTGGGTGTGTGGCAGTGTGTGGTGGGAGGGAGCGGGTACTTGGTGTGGGTGTGTGGCAGTGTGTGGTGGGAGGGAGCGGGTACTCGGTGTGGGTGTGTGGCAGTGTGTGGTGGGAGGGAGCGGGTACTTGGTGTGGGTGTGTGGCAGTGTGTGGTGGGAGGGAGCGGGTACTTGGTGTGGGTGTTTGGCAGTGTGTGGTGGGAGGGAGCGGGTACTTGGTGTGGGTGTTTGGCAGTGTGTGGTGGGAGGGAGCGGGTACTTGGTGTGGGTGTTTGGCAGTATGTTGTGGGAGGGAGCGGGTACTTGGTGTGGGTGTGTGGCAGTGTGTGGTGGGAGGGAGCGGGTACTTGGTGTGGGTGTGTGGCAGTGTGTGGTGGGAGGGAGCGGGTACTTGGTGTGGGTGTGTGGCAGTGTGTGTTGGGAGGGAGCGGGTACTTGGTGTGGGTGTGTGGCAGTGTGTGGTGGGAGGGAGCGGACTTGGTGTGGGTGTGTGGCAGTGTGTGTTGGGAGGGAGCGGGTACTTGGTGTGGGTGTGTGGCAGTGTGTGGTGGGAGGGCGCGGGTACTTGGTGTGGGTGTGTGGCAGTGTGTGTTGGGAGGGAGCGGGTACTTGGTGTGGGTGTGTGGCAGTGTGTGGTGGGAGGGAGCGGGTACTTGGTGTGGGTGTGTGGCAGTGTGTGGTGGGAGGGAGCGGGTACTTGGTGTGGCTGTGTGGCAGTTTTTTTTTTTTTTTATTATTTTCTACCACAGACGTGGCCACACATTTACAATGGCGCGGGTACTTGATGTGGGTGTGTGGCAGTGTGTGTTGGGAGGGAGCGGGTACTTGGTGTGGGTGTGTGTTGGGAGGAAGCGGGTACTGGGTGTAGGTGTGTGGTGGGAGGAAGCGGGTACTGGGTGTGGGTGTGTGTTGGGAGGGAGCGGGTTGCAACTGTATGGAGTCAGGTTTGCTTCCCTCTTTGACTCTGAAATTTAAACGTTCTCTGACATATATTGCTCCTCCTTCTCTTCCTCCTCCTCCTCCTCCTCCTCCTCCTCCTTCTCTTCCTTCTCCTCCTCCTCCTCCTCCTCTTATAATCTGTGTACTGTGTGAAATGCTTTGAATCCCTTAATTTGATATCTAGCTGATAGTTCCGTGTTCGGGTTGTGTTAGTGTAATACTTGTACCCCACACCACACCTTGCTATGTACACTGTTTCATGTACTCAAGAGCAGTGAAATCATCTATTTTGACTCTAATATTGTGAGTGTTTGTGTAGAGCAGTTATGGTGACGCCGGGGTCCTCCTGCGGTATTTATTGTCAAACTTTATACATTTCTCTCGCTGGTGTTCTCTCTGGTGTTCTCTCTGGTGGTCTCTCTGGTGGTCTCTCTGGTGTTCTCTCTGGTGTTCTCTCTGGTGTTCTCTCTTGTGTTCTCTCTGGTGTTCTCTCTGGTGTTCTCTCTGGTGTTATCTCTGGTGTTCTCTCTGGTGTTCTCTCCGGTGTTATCTCTGGTGTTCTCTCTGGTGTTCTCTCTGGTGTTATCTCTGGTGTTCTCTCTTGTGTTCTCTCTGGTGTGTTCTCTCTGGTGTTCTCTCTGGTGTTCTCTCTTGTGTTCTCTCTGGTCTCTTCTCTCTGGTGTTCTCTCTGGTGTTATCTCTGGTGTTCTCTCTGGTGTTCTCTCTGGTGTTCTCTCTGGTGTTCTCTCTGGTGTTCTCTCTTGTGTTCTCTCTGGTGTTCTCTCTGGTGTTCTCTCTGGTGTTATCTCTGGTGTTCTCTCTGGTGTTCTCTCTGGTGTTCTCTCTGGTGTTATCTCTGGTGTTCTCTCTGGTGTTCTCTCTGGTGTTATCTCTGGTGTTCTCTCTGGTGTTCTCTCTGGTGTTATCTCTGGTGTTCTCTCTTGTGTTCTCTCTTGTGTTCTCTCTGGTGTTCTCTCTGGTGTTCTCTCTTGTGTTCTCTCTGGTGTTCTCTCTGGTGTTCTCTCTGGTGTTGTGTCGTGTTCTCATACTGTCCGGGGAGGTCTTCTTGTCGATCATCCAGATCTCTATAGAGGGTAAAAACTTAAAAGCCTTGTTAACTACTTATTCCACTGAGTCAGCTGAGGTGGGCACACCACGCTACGATACTTGAGGGCCGTCCCTCGCGTATATGTAATACTGGCCAGTGGACGAGTCCCAGATGTTGATCAATGGTGTTTCAGAACTAAAATAATGCCTTTCAGGTCGGCAGCTGATCCCACCTGCCCTTGACAACCCCCCTCACCCCACCACCCCCACCACCCCCATCACTCCCACCACCACCACCCCTACCACCACAACCACTGAGCCTCTTCACAACTCCATGCACGATGGCAACTCATCCCCCCTCCCCACCCAACTTTTTCCTCATCATATCTTATGATAACTTTTATCTATTCAAAAGTCCCTCACTGCTCCCCTGGCACCATCATTCCACCTAGTGAGAGGCAGACGACAGGCTTGTCCCTATTGCCAGGCCAAATGTGTGCGATCCTGGCCACTACGCCGCCTATACCAGCCAGAGAACACCACCACCATCATCCTCTTACGAACATATGTTCAGCTAAAATGCTTTGTCTAAATAACTTTTCTGACAATCCACTACGACCAAGATTTTCGAAATTTGGGCTGCACGGTGGGTTGGTGGCCTGCCTGAGGGCTGCTCAGTCTCCACTAGAGCGGGTGAGGACCTCCTGCCCGCCTACACCCGAAGATAGGGATATAAATTGGAATCCGTTTTAATCAGGATGGACCTGGGTAAATACTGGTTTGGAGAGAGGGTTGTTGATATATGGAACTAACAAATTACCGGGTAACATAACGGACGTAGGAACACTCGACTTTTTCAAGCGTTGGTAGATATAAAGAGATGTCTTGTATGGGCCAATAGGCCTTTAAAAGTTTAATTTATTCTTTTCTCGAGTATGTGTGTTCACCTAGTGGTACTCACCTAGTTGTGCTTGCGGGGGTTGAGCTCTGGCTCTTTCGTCCGGCCTCTCAACTGTCAATCAACTGGTGTTCAGATTCCTGAGCCTACTGGCCTCTATCATATCTACATTTGAAACTGTGCATGGAGTCTGCCTCCACCACATCACTGCCTAATGCATTCCACCTGTTAACTACTCTGACACTGAAAATGTTCTTTCTAACGTCCCTGTCGCTCATTTGGGTACTCAGTTTCCACCTGTGTCCCCTTGTTCTCGTACCACCCGTGTTAAACAGTTTACCTTTATCTACCCTGTCCATTCCTCTGAAAATTTTGTAGGTAGTGATCATGTCTCCCCTTACTCTTCTGTCTTCCAGTGTCGTGAGGTGCATCTCACGCAGCCTTTCCTCGTAACTCATGCCTCTTAGTTCTGGGACTAGCCTAGTGGCATACCTTTGGACTTTTTCCACCTTCGTCTTGTGCTTGACAAGGTACGGGCTCCATGCTGGGGCCGCATACTCCAGGACTGGTCTTACATATGTGGTATACAAGATTCTGAATGATTCCTTACACAGGTTCCTGAAGGCTGTTCTGATGTTAGCTAGCCTCGCATACGCCGCTGATGTTATTCTTTTTATGAGGGGCTTCAGGAGACAGGTTTGGTGTTATATCAACTCCTTAATATCTCCTGTATGAGAGTGTGTGTATGTGTGTGTGAGTGTATGTGTGAACAGGGTGAAAGAAACTCTGCCCATTTGATTCTGTTTCTTCCGGGGATCGAACCCGAGCCCTTAAGACTACGACCCCAGAGCGTTGTCCACTCAGCTGCTAGGCGAGAACAACGAGGACACCTGCTAGGTGAGGAGTGTGTGAGAGTGCATCTGTGTGAGTGTTAATGAGTGGTAGAGTGTGGCCGCCAGACTCAACACACCTCACACTGAGCCTCACCTCTCCCAGCGACCCCACTTGTCCCAGGCTCTTGGTGAAGGATGTGGCCCGCTTGTACGAGTAAGTGATCCACTGAACTGTTAGTATTATACCAGTGTTTTTTCCTGGCCTGCTGCCATCACACCTGTGTTTCCCCCCTGACCTGCTGCCATCACACTTGTGTTTCCCAGGCCTGCTGCCATCACACCTGTGTTTCCCTGGCCGGCTGCCACCACACCTGTGTTTCCCTGGCCTGCTGCCATCACACCTGTGTTTCCCCCCTGACCTGCTGTCACCACACCTGTGTTTCCCCCCTGACCTGCTGTCACCACACCTGTGTTTCCCTGGCCTGCTGCCACCACACCTGTGTTTCCCCCCTGACCTGCTGCCATCACACCTGTGTTTCCCTGACCTGCTGCCACCACACCTGTGTTTCCCCCCTGACCTGCTGCCACCACACCTGTCTTTCCCACACCTGCTGCCACCACACCTGTCTTTCCCACATCTGCTGCCACCACACCTGTGTTTCCCCGACCTGCTGCCACCACACCTGTCTTTCCCACACCTGCTGCCACCACACCTGTCTTTCCCACACCTGCTGCCACCACACCTGTGTTTCCCCGACCTGCTGCCACCACACCTGTCTTTCCCACACCTGCTGCTACCACACCTGTCTTTCCCCGACCTGCTGCCACCACACCTGTGTTTCCCACACCTGCTGCCACCACACCTGCTATTGAAAACAAGCGTCTGAATTACTCGTGATTTAATTTTGTCTGAAAACTTTTTAACTCTGAACTTTCTCGTCAAAGATAAATATTGACTTTTACTCATTGAAGTGTTCACTTAATATAAATTATGTTAAATTTGGTGTTGGGTTTACAGCTGATCAACCCCCGGAGGGTTACGAAGGCTACCCATAATAGTTTACTGAAAAGCATGAGTACTCTTTAACTCTTACGTGTTTCTGGGTTTATGTAAACTCTCAGTTTATATAGCATCTGATAGCGGTATATACATCTTGGTGTATATAAACACTGGCGACTCCGGTGAGGGTAAGATATTGGTTTGGTGTTGCGGGTGTGTTGCTGCAGTCTCAGCTGGTGTGTGTTGCTGCACTCTCAGCTGGTGTGTGTGTTGCTGCACTCTCAGCTGGTGTGTGTGTTGCTGCACTCTCAGCTGGTGTGTGTGTTGCTGCAGTCTCAGCTGGTGTGTGTTGCTGCACTCTCAGCTGGTGTGTGTTGCTGCAGTCTCAGCTGGTGTGTGTTGCTTCACTCTCAGCTGGTGTGTGTGTTGCTGCAGTCTCAGCTGGTGTGTGTTGCTGCAGTCTCAGCTGGTGTGTGTGTTGCTGCACTCTCAGCTGGTGTGTGTGTTGCTGCACTCTCAGCTGGTGTGTGTGTTGCTGCAGTCTCAGCTGGTGTGTGTGTTGCTGCAGTCTCAGCTGGTGTGTGTTGCTGCACTCTCAGCTGGTGTGTGTTGCTGCACTCTCAGCTGGTGTGTGTGTTGCTGCACTCTCAGCTGGTGTGTGTTGCTGCACTCTCAGCTGGTGTGTGTGTTGCTGCACTCTCAGCTGGTGTGTGTTGCTGCACTCTCAGCTGGTGTGTGTTGCTGCACTCTCAGCTGGTGTGTGTGTTGCTGCACTCTCAGCTGGTGTGTGTTGCTGCAGTCTCAGCTGGTGTGTGTTGCTGCAGTCTCAGCTGGTGTGTGTTGCTGCAGTCTCAGCTGGTGTGTGTTGCTGCAGCTGTGTGTGTGTTGCTCTCAGCTGGTGTGTGTTGCTGCACTCTCAGCTGGTGTGTGTTGCTGCAGTCTCAGCTGGTGTGTGTTGCTGCACTCTCAGCTGGTGTGTGTGTTGCTGCACTCTCAGCTGGTGTGTGTGTTGCTGCACTCTCAGCTGGTGTGTGTTGCTGCACTCTCAGCTGGTGTGTGTTGCTGCAGTCTCAGCTGGTGTGTGTGTTGCTGCACTCTCAGCTGGTGTGTGTTGCTGCACTCTCAGCTGGTGTGTGTGTTGCTGCACTCTCAGCTGGTGTGTGTGTTGCTGCACTCTCAGCTGGTGTGTGTTGCTGCAGTCTCAGCTGGTGTGTGTGTTGCTGCACTCTCAGCTGGTGTGTGTGTTGCTGCACTCTCAGCTGGTGTGTGTTGCTGCACTCTCAGCTGGTGTGTGTTGCTGCACTCTCAGCTGGTGTGTGTTGCTGCACTCTCAGCTGGCGTGTGTGTTGCTTCACTCTCAGCTGGTGTGTGTGTTGCTGCACTCTCAGCTGGTGTGTGTTGCTGCACTCTCAGCTGGTGTGTGTTGCTGCACTCTCAGCTGGTGTGTGTGTTGCTGCACTCTCAGCTGGTGTGTGTGTTGCTGCACTCTCAGCTGGTGTGTGTTGCTGCACTCTCAGCTGGTGTGTGGTGCTGCACTCTCAGCTGGTGTGTGTTGCTGCACTCTCAGCTGGTGTGTGGTGCTTCACTCTCAGCTGGTGTGTGTTGCTTCACTCTCAGCTGGTGTGTGGTGCTGCACTCTCAGCTGGTGTGTGTGTTGCTTCACTCTCAGCTGGTGTGTTGCCTCTGGCATAAAGCTGATATATAAGAACAAAGCAAATGTAAATGATGATTAGGAGGGGAATGAGCTGGGATATTAGGACAAGGGGCTGGGATATAAGGACAAGGGGCTGGGATATATGGACAAGCAGCTGGGATATAAGGACAAGGGGCTGGGATATAAGGACAAGGGGCTGGGATATATGGACAAGCAGCTGGGATATAAGGACAAGGGGCTGGGATATAAGGACAAGAAGCTGGGATATAAGGAAAAGGAGCTGGGATATGAAGACAAGGGGCTGGGATATAAGGACAAGAAGCTGGGATATAAGAACACAGTCAAAGAACGGTGCCCAACCTCTTGAATCATTTAAGATGGAAAGCCAACCCTGCAGAAAAGAGATACCATCACTCTGCCTAAAAGTCTTCTTTGAATGACCTCTTACAGGAGTGATAGCAAAGATATTAGGATGTATGAGAGAAAATGGGACACACACACACTTGCAACTTTCTCTTCTGCACAAGACCTGTCTGGCCAGAACCTCTCACAATCTGTTTCCTGCGTATAATTACCCTTCTTTGTGCAGCTGCACATGAGTGTCACTATAGTGATAGTGAAATGTAAAGCAGCAAGTAGAGGCAGCGTCCTCCATCCTTCTAATGTATGGAAGCCACAAATCGCCCGTGGCTGACAGTACCGTGAGCCGCGAGAAGGTTAGGTTAGCTTAGGTTGAGCGCCGCGAGAAGGTTAGGTTAGGTTAGGTTGAGCGCCGCGAGAAGGTTAGGTTAGGTTAGGTTGAGCGCCGCGAGAAGGTTAGGTTAGGTTAGGTTGAGCGCCGCGAGAAGGTTAGGTTAGGTTAGGTTGAGCGCCGCGAGAAGGTTAGGTTAGGTTAGGTTGAGCGCCGCGAGAAGGTCTCCACTACAGCCTGGTGTAGGAGCCGCACTTCACCTCCCGCCAGCCTTCCTAGCAAGAAGGAAAGCGAGCACAGCGTCGAGAGAACACGTTCCGGGTTTATAACGCTGTAAAGAAACGCTAAAACGGGTAAGAAAACCGGCTTTACCCGTCCCCCGGGGGGGGGGCGCAGGAAGAACGCCAGCAGTTGCAGAACACGAAGCCAGAAAATACCAGAGAGGAGCAAGATTATACACCGTAACCAGGAAGAGACTGAAGAGGCAGTTTCAGGCTTTATGGCAGGTGGAATCACTCGTCACAGCCCAGGATACACCTCACGATCTGCTCTGGCATGTCCTGCACACCACAGATCCTACAGAGAATATATATGTGTATATATAATATATATATATATATATATATATATATATATATATATATATATATATATATATATATATATATATATATATATATATATGTCGTACCTAGTAGCCAGAACGCACTTTTCGGCCTACTATGAATGGCCCGATTTGCCTAATAAACCAAGTTTTCCTGAAATAATATAGTTTCTCTAAATTTTTTCTTATGAAATGATAAAGCTACCCATTTCATTATGTATGAGGTCAATTTTTTTTTATTGGAGTTAAAATTAACGTAGATATATGACCGAACCTAACCAACCCTACCTAACCTAACCTAACCTATCTTTATAGGTTAGGTTCGGTTAGGTAGCCGAAAAAGTTAGGTTAGGTTAGGTTAGGTAGGTTAGGTAGTCGAAAAACAATTCATGAAAACTTGGCTTATTAGGCAAATCGGGCCTTGAATAGTAGGCTGAGAAGTGCGTTCTGGCTACTAAGTACGACATATATATATATATATATATATAAATATATATATATATATATATATATATATATATATATATATATTTTATTAAATATGACCGAAAAAGTAAGATTAATAATTCTAACACGAATTTTCTCAATCTTTCGTACATTATGCTTCACTGTTAGAGGTAAATCAAAAATCACTTCTCCAAAATTCATTTTATTTCTAGTCTGACGCGACACGGGCGCGTTTCGTAAAACTTATTACATTTTCAAAGACTTCACAAATACACAACTGATTAGAACTTGCGTTTCCCTGATTTTATATCTACATTTGAGTGAGGTGGGAAGGGTGATGTGGCATTACATTTGAGTGAGGTGGGAAGGATGATGTGGCATTAGAGAATATTAATAGGGTATTAAAAGTATCAACACAAGACAGAACACGAAACAATGGATATTGAATAGAAGTGTTTGTAGAAAGCCTATTGGTCCATATGGACCAATAGGCTTTCTACAAACACCTTCTATTCAATATCCATTGTTTCGTGTTCTGTCTTGTTTTGATACTTTTAATACCCTATTTAATATTCTCTAATGCCACATCATCCTTCCCACCTTACTCAAATGTAATGCCACATCACCCTTCCCACCTCACTCAAATGTAGATATAAAATCAGGGAAACGCAAGTTCTAATCAGTTGTGTATTTGTGAAGTCTTTGAAAATGTAATAAGTTTTACGAAACGCGCCCGTGTCGCGTCAGACTAGAAATAAAAATGAATTTTGGAGAAGTGATTTTTGATTTACCTCTAACAGTGAAGCATAATGTACGAAAGATTGAGAAAATTCGTGTTAGAATTATTAATCTTACTTTTTCGGTCATATTAATAAAATATGTCTACAGGAAAAGACTGCTACCAAAATATATATTATATATATATATTATATATATATATATATATATATATATATATATATATATATATATATATAATATATATATATATACTTAGGTGCCTGTGTGTATGTATATGTGTTGTTTACTAGTTGTGTTTACTAGTTGTGTTTTTTACGGGGGTTGAGCTTTGCTCTTTCGGGCCGCCTCTCAACTGTTAACTACTTTTTTTTTTTTTTTTTTTTTTTTTTTTTTTCCCACACCACACACCACACACACACCCTAGGAAGCAGCCCGTGACAGCTGACTAACTCCCAGGTACCTATTTACTGCTAGGTAACAGGGGCATTCAGGGTGAAAGAAACTTTGCCCATTTGTTTCTGCCTCGTGCGGGAATCGAACCCGCGCCACAGAATTACGAATCCTGCGCGCTCTCCACCAGGCTACGAGGCCCCCCAAAGGTGTGTGTGGTGTGTGAGTGTGTGTGTGTGTGTGTGTGTGTGTGTGTGTGTGTGTGTGTGTGTGTGTGTGTGTGTGTGTGTGTGTGTGTTGAGGAGCTGAGGGGTTGTCGACTGAGGTTATGGGGTGGAGAGAGGGATCCTCATTGGCCCATAAACACCGTATTCTTCATGTTTTATTGACAAAATATTTTTAATTTGCTCTCACTTCTCACTTAACTATCATGTTTAACGCTGGGTTTCTCTCTTATCTTCCTTTCTGTTGCCTTTGATTCTGCTTTATAACCTCTCTTGTCTGCGTTTAAGAGGTTTTTAGTTCAAATTAGAAGACAAACAGCAGAGGGCCAAGACACCAGGGCCTGGGCTCCCTCTGGTGCCTCGCGGCGCCCGTAGAGCTGACCACGACCCTCTGCTGGGTGCACTAAACTGTGTGTGCCGCTATTAAGGTTCTACTGCTTCCAAAATTCACGTTTTATGGAGCATCGAATCCTGTGTTGTTGCAATAGTGTGTACTCACCTAGTTGAGCTTGCAGGGTCGACCATCTGATCTTAAGCTCTGCCTTTGATTCTCATTGATTCAGTGCCGTGACACTTTTCACTCGTTTGTCTTAACATATTTATATTTTAAACTGTGTGCTGTATTGGCTTGGACAGCCTCCCCATCTAGTCTATTCCAGTCATGAATGGCAGACTGACAAAGTTCTGTGTGACATCCCCGTGGCACATCTGTGTTCCCAGGTTCCAGTCTTGTCCTCTCATTCTACAGGTCCCTAATTTGAACATCGCTTTTATATGTACTCTGTCCATCCCCGTTATATCTTGTACATCGTTATCATGTCTGCCACATACCTTCTCTCCTTCAGTGTAGTGGAGTTCAGTTCTCTCAGTCTTTCTTCATATGTCAGTCCCCTTAACTCGGATACGAGCCTTTTGTTGCAAATTTTTGTACCTTTTTCCAGTTTTGTGCATCTTCGGATAGAGGTTTTTTTAATAACAGGTCTCACAAAGGATGTGTACAGCACTATGGAAGGGATCTTTGTCCAAGTTGGTGAAGGATAACCGGATGTTTGCCAGTATGGCATATGTGGCCCTCGTTATCCTGCTGATGTGTGCCTCTGGTGTTAGGTCTCCAGTTATCTCCACTCCTAAGTCTCTCCTTTCCAGAAGTACAGGATGAAGGGAATGCCTTCCCTTCATCCTGTGCTGTATTTGAGGTATTCTTGCTCCAGTTCCTATCGTCGTAACCTTGCACTTGTTATGGTTAAAGTCAAGTAGCCATTACTCAAACCATTTCTGGAGATTACCTCTCTCCATTTTGTTAGCTCTTAACCTACTATGACGTTTTGAACTCTTCCGGAAAGATACTCCTTCGCCCACTTTAGGACTTTCCTGATATGCCAGCCTATTTTTCGCGTTTGCATAGGAGTTTCTTGTGAGGAACAGTGTCAACAGCTTTCTGGCAATCCAGGAAAATGCAGTCTTCCAGGATCTTCTTTATCCTGTCTGCTTGTTGTCATCGTGTCATAGAATAATAAGCCGATCAAGCAAGATTTTTTCCTTTGCTGAGTCCATTTTGATATTTGGAAAGAAAATCTGTATGTTTTACATGGTCGTGTGTGTGTGTGTGTGTTTTACATGGTTACAATATATACCACTAACAGCTGACCTTCCCCCGCAGGAGTGATGGTGACCCTGGTGCTGGTGGTGGTGTGTGTGCTGACTCTCCAGGTTCTCTCTCACCCTCAACACGAAGGTATGTCCCACCCACACATACCTGACTTGTATATATTCTGTCGTATATATAACAAATTGTAATATATATATATATATATATATATATATATATATATATATATATATATATATATATATATATATATATATATATATATATATATATATTGGTGTATACTGGCAGCAGGTTTTCTTTCAAACATGTTTCATTGAATATGACCGCATATTCTGTATTTATTATTTTCTGGTTTAGGGCTTCTATCCCTCTAACTATTTTCTTAGCATCAGGGCTTAATTGGAATAGGAGTTCTCCAAAACTCATTTTCGTACTTTTAAGGTGAAGAAAAGAAGTGATTTACTATAGAGTGTATTACACTTATTTGTATAATTTGCACGACGTTTCGAACCTCCATGGTTCATTCTCAAGTGAACAGATCTTACAATACTAGTTGATTTTATACCCGCATTAGGTCAGGTGATAATACAATGAAGGTGAAAACATGGGGGGATACATAAGGGATAAACATAGGGCTGCAGAAGGCTTATTGGCCCATACGAGGCATCTCCTATCTAAACACAAAGATTAATCCAGTGTAATTGGCCTGTTATGTTGGACATTGTCTTCTGTGTTGGCATCGATATGTTCTTGTCTTGTCCTTACTCTCATGGTGGGTAGAGTAAATAGTTCCGTGATTTGGGTGTTCATGGTAGGTCGCTCTATTCTTATGTGAATTGCCTCAAGAATTTGTAATCTTCTTGAATCTTGGTTTTGTCTATTATGCAAGTATTCTTGTTCAACATTTCTCTTGTTAGAAAACGTCGAAACGGTTCGGTTCGAAACGGTTCGAACCGAACGGTTCAAAACGGTTCGAAACGTCGTGCAAATTATACAAATAAGTGTAATACACTCTATAGTAAATCACTTCTTTTCTTCACCTTAAAAGTACGAAAATGAGTTTTGGAGAACTCCTATTTCAATTAAGCCCTGATGCTAAGAAAATAGTTAGAGGGATAGAAGCCCTAAACCAGAAAATAATAAATACAGAATATGCGGTCATATTCAATGAAATATATATATATATATATATATATATATATATATATATATATATATATATATATATATATATATATATATATACACGTCGTGGGTACTATTGAGGTACACACACGCTATATTTTAGTGTCCATCTGATCAGTCACAGTTATCCTTAACATACATGGGGTTATGAAGGAGGCTCGATAACCAGATACAAATAAGTCACAATATAACACATATGTGTCTTTAAATGATTTAATGATTATAATTAATATTTAGTTTGTTTGAACATTATTAAATATCATTCAGGTATACGATATTAATAACAGACTTGATTGTATTTGTTGTAGTTAGATTAATTAACATACAGCGCCGTGCCATGCCCCAGCACACCAACATTCACAACTTTCTTGCTCTTCAACTGATCTGATTAACTTGATAAGAATTTATTATCGCACAACTTTAAGACTTTATTTAATGACATTAATATTTGGATTCCTTAACACCATACTAGAGTTGCCTGAGGATCAAGTTGGAGGTCAAGACGAAGGTCAATTTGGAGCTCAAGTTGGAGCTCAAGTTGGAGCTCAAGTTGGAGGTCAAGTTGGAGGTCAAGTTGGAGGTCAAGACGAAGATCAAGTTGGAGATCAAGTTGGAGGTCAAGTTGGAGGTCAAGGTGGAGGTCAAGTTGGAGGTCAAGGTGGAGGTCAAGTTGGAGGTCAAGGTGGAGGTCAAGTTGGAGGTCAAGGTGGAGGTCAAGTTGGAGGTCAAGGTGGAGGTCAAGGTGGAGGTCAAGGTGGAGGTCAAGGTGGAGGTCAAGGTGGAGGTCAAGGTGGAGGTCAAGGTGGAGGTCAAGGTGGAGGTCAAGGTGGAGGTCAAGGTGGAGGTCAAGGTGGAGGTCAAGGTGGAGGTGGGCGGCGAGGCTGGCGCAGAGGTTGGCGGCGTGGCTGGCGCAGGGGTGGTCGTGGCGGAGTGGGCGGCGGCAGCAAGACCTCCCTACAGAACGACATCGTTGTGAAACCCGTCATCATGTAAGCTGCTCCTCCCCACCCCCCCTCCCTCCCCCACCCCCTCTCCCCAGGAGCTTGTCTGTGCTTTATCTTCACATCTTGATCTTCTCCTCCATCTTCACTGCTCACTGTCTTCATCACTGTATCTTCACTGCTCGCTGTCTTCATCACTGTATCTTCACTGCTCACTGTCTTCATCACTGTATCTTCACTGCTCACTGTCTTCATCACTGTATCTTCACTGCTCACTGTCTTCATCACTGTATCTTCACCGCTCACTGTCTTCATCACTGTATCTTCACTACACACTGTCTTCATCACTGTATCTTCACTGCACACTGTCTTCATCACTGTATCTTCACTACGCTGTATCATCGTCACTGTATCTTCACTATGCTGTATCTTCATCACTGTATCTTTACTTCCTAACTCAGACCTCCTTCATCACTGTATCTTCACTACGCTGTATCATCGTCACTGTATCTTCACTATGCTGTATCTTCATCACTGTATCTTTACTTCCTAACTCAGACTTCCTTCATCACTGTATCTTCATCGCACATTATCTTCACTGTATCTTCACTACACACTATCTTCATCACTGTATTTTCACTACGCTGTATCTTCATCACGGTATCTTCACTACGCTGTATCTTCACTACGCTGTATCTTCATCACTGTATCTTCACTACACACTATCTTCATTACTGTATTTTCACTACACACTATCTTCATCACTGCATCTTCACTACACACTATCTTCATCACTGTATCTTCACTACAAACTATCTTCAGCACTGTATCTTCACTACAAACTATCTTCATCACTGTATCTTCACTACAAACTATCTTCAGCACTGTATCTTCACTACATACTATCTTCATCACTGTATCTTCACTACAAACTATCTTCATCACTGTATCTTCACTACCCACTATCTTCATCACTGTATCTTCACTACCCACTATCTTCATCACTGTATCTTCACTACACACTATCTTCATCACTGTATCTTCACTTCACACTATCTTCATCACTGTATCTTCACTACACAATATCTTCATCACTGCACCAGTCCTCACTACACACTATCTTCATCACTGTACCAGTCCTCACTACACACTATCTTCATCACTGCACCAGTCCTCACTACACACTATCTTCATCTTCAAATATACATGTATATTTGTTTTATTTAAACTTTGTTACATATATGGTACAAAAATGATTATCATAAGTTGTGGAGTTCCTCCAGCTCCTCAGATGGCGGGCAGGAACCCTGAATGCAGTGTGCATTTCCCCTCTGTATCGCCACGCTGAGGCGCTGGAAAAGGAATCTGGCAGCTCTATTGTCTCTTGTTGTTTCAAGTAGCCTAGAACCCAGTTCTTTCAAAAAACTTGTGGCACTCTTACCCCCAGGCGCCGAGTGTCTCAGAAGCAATGGGGACAAAATTGTAGTGGTGATCCAGTTCTCTGTACTTATGGGATTTGGCTGATTCCTTGTGAGTGGCAGCGCCACCTGGTTGTTCAACACTGAAGTCAATGTATGTGTTAGCCAGGGTTGATATGCACGTGTAGTCCCATACCAACTGCTTGCCATTCTTCCAGGGGTTCACTGTGATACCATCCGGGCGACCTATAAGAGTATCAGAGTTACGGGGCGTTAGGTAACGGGGCTCTCTTTCAGCTGGGCATCCAGCTGTGGTGAGGCTCTTATTGATGATGTCCTTAACTTCACTGTGCCTCGAGTGCCATCCCCCTGTGCTTTGGCAGAGTAGGCCATGGTGGCCGTACCTGTCAGCCACCACCTCGCCGCAAATACACCTATATTTGGTGTGGATTAGGGCAGCAAGGCGGTGGGCCAGCCAGCTATATATATATAGAGAGAGAGAGATTTTGTATCAGCCGGTGGCTGAGCGGACATAACACTGGGCGCGTGATCCTGTTGTCCCGGGTTCGATCCCGGGCGCCAGAGAGAAACAATAGGCAGAGTTTCTTTCACCCTGATGCCCTGTTACCTAGCAGTAAATTAGAACCTGGGAGTCAGTCAGCTGTCACGGGCTGCTTCCTGGGGGGTGGAGGCCTGGTCGAGGACCGGGCCGCGGGGACACAAAGCCCCAAAATCATCTCAAGATAACCTCAAGATAACCTCCCATATATAGAGAAGTGAGAGATGGTGGGGAGGGCGAAGGGACAGGGGAGGGGTTAATGGTGGAGAGAACGAGGGAACAGGGGAGTGGGGAATGGTGAGGGGAGGACGAGGGGACAGGAGAGGGGGGAATGGTGGAGAGAACGAGGGGACAGGGGAGGGGGAATGGTGGGGGAGGACAAGGGGGGAACAGGGGAGGGGGGAATGGTGGGGAGGACAAGGGGACAGGGGAGGGGGGAATGGTGGGGAGGACGAGGGGACAGGGGAGGGGGGAAGGGTGGGGAGGACGAGGGGACGGCGGGGGGTATAGAATGTGGAGGGAATTACTTCGCTGTGGAGTAAAGAATATACGGCACCCGGGGAGCGCCTGATGTAACCCAGATGCATTATTTTCTCAAATGCTTAATACATTTCTTCAATACAGAATGCCAAACGCCACAGTGACGCCAGACATGCTAGAACAATTGAGGACAGAACCTGAAGCAATGAACCAACCAATGGGAGGAGGAGAAGTAGAACCAATTGACATGAAAGAGCTTCAGTAACACCCCCTCCCCCCCCCCCCCCCCCCCACCACCACCATCTACATTACATTATTTACTCTAAGGACAAAAAAAATTAACAAGGATAAACATGAAGAGAAATCATTGTAGTTATGATGAACGAGACACTTGGGACCTGCAGTAAATATTTAATGTCTCTATTATCATATATTTCAGTTGTATAATAAGTTTAACTGTAGTCTTTCCCGTATCATCAGTGATTAGTTCATCCGTATGATCTTGTATGTAATAAGTCTACTTATCAGTGAAATAAAAAGTATATCAGGTAACAGAAGTTATTTTTTCAGCAAGTTTCCCTTCAGTGCCCAACCGCTTGGGCTGGACGGTAGAGCGACGGTCTCGCTTCATGCAGGTCAGCGTTCAATTCCCGACTGTCCAAGTGGTTGGGGCACCATTCCTTCCCCCCGTCCCATCTGGGGGGAAAGAAAAAAAACAGTAAAAACAGGCTTACAAAAAAGTATTCCAGACTATGAAATCATTTCAAGATGATGAGGTGAAGGCAAGGTGTGACACTGAAGAAACCATAGCAAGACACAGTGTGACACTGAAGAAACCATAGCAAGACACAGTGTGACACTGAAGAAGCCATAGCAAGACAGGATGTGGCACGAGATCTCATTACCAAAGTTGGGCCAAGTTAGGCCACATCCTCACTAACTTCCCATCACACGATATCAAAGTTTTCCTCCCTCTAATGTACCTCCCTAATATGGACCTATGAAAAATGTGCAACTCTCAAGTCACCGAAACAAAGTCGATGAATAACCTGCATCATACATCATTATACATTATACATAATGACAACAGTAAGTTGACTATGCAGAGTGGAACAGTAAGGCCAAGTTCGCTGCGGCTGAATTTATAAAGTGGTCGTTATAGGAAGTGTTTTCTGCTGGCTCAGACTCCTCATGATCCCTAATCTCACTCATCTCTCTCTCATCTCACTTATCTTACTCGTCTCACTCATTTCCAGCTTCCCAACTCGTACAGCAACAGTGAATAACACATTGCTACATTGAATTTAATATAGCTACATTAAACATGTAGCATAACATTGTTACAATGAATAAAATAATTTTAATGAATAAAACAGTTTTAATGAATAATATAAAACTGCAATTAAAAATGTACAGCTATAATGAATAACAGATACAATGAATAACAGATACAATGAATGACAAATACAATGAATAACAGAATAAATAACACAGCTACAATTATTTTTTTAATTCAACTACCATTAATTTTATTGCAATGCATAGCATAGTTTCACCAAATAATACGATTAAAGGTGCCATAGTTTCCAAAGGCGGCAGAGAGAAGAACAGAACAAGTCCGTGGATCTCCCAAGTGTTCCACCAAGATGGTGACGTTGTGGTCAAGTTAGGCCTCATATTGACACATAGGCCTATTGACACATAGGTCAATAGGCCTACTGCAGTGACTGCCACCCACCTTATACATTATTTGGCACGAAATTGTTTTCTGCGACACACACAAGGAAGTTCTGAGATTAATTATTGATGGAGGTAGGTTATGTTGGACGTGTACACACACGTGTTCTAATTGGTTATGTTGGACGTGTACACACACGTGTTCTAATTGGTTATGTTGGACGTGTACACACACGTGTTCTAATTGGTTATGTTGGACGTGTACACACACACGTGTTCTAATTGGTTATGTTGGACGTGTACACACACGTGTTCTGATTGGTTATGTTGGACGTGTACACACACGTGTTCTGATTGGTTATGTTGGACGTGTACACACACGTGTTCTGATTGGTTATGTTGGACGTGTACACACACGTGTTCTAATTGGTTATGTTGGACGCATACGTAAACCTATTTTAATTGGGCGATGTTATTAACGATGACTCTAGCGTGGCCATCAGGTCATAACATTAAACAGGGACATTATATACAGGATCACAGTTTGTTGAACATGATCCTGTCTGGCGGTGAATATTGTCTCAACACCCATACTCACAACACCCATACTCACAACACCCATACTCACAACACCCATACTCACAACACCCATACTCACAACACCCATACTCACAACACCCACACTCACAACACCCACACTCACAACACCCACACTCACAACACCCACACTCACAACACCCATACTCACAACACCCATACTCACAACACCCATACTCACAACACCCATACTCACAACACCCATACTCACAACACCCATACTCACAACACCCATACTCACAACACCCATACTCACAACACCCATACTCATAACACCCACACTCACAACACCCATACTCACAACACCCATACTCACAACACCCATACTCACAACACCCACACTCACAACACCCATACTCACAACACCCATACTCACAACACCCATACTCATAACACCCATACTCACAACACCCACACTCACAACACCCACACTCACAACACCCACACTCACAACACCCACACTCACAACACCCACACTCACAACACCCACACCCACAACACCCACACTCACAACACCCACACTCACAACACCCATACTCACAACACCCATACTCACAACACCCATACTCACAACACCCACAGTGGGTGGGGACCGCCACAGTTTGAACGAGCGTAACCTGAGGACGGCTCAATTTTATGTGTATATCTGTCTGTGAGACTGTTTGTCTGTAACTTTGCGAGTCTGAGAGTCTCTGAGTCAGTGTGTCTATGAATTTAATAATCTGTGAATCTGAGAGTCTCGGAGTTTGTGAATCTGAGAGTCTGTGAAATTATATCTGAACACGTGAGTCTGTGATTCTGTGAGGCTAAGCTCGGACAGTCAACCAAAGAATATTTAATCCATATAATATTACTAAAGTTACTTTGGTATAGACAATGTGAATATGAAGTTTAGGTGGATCAGTCAGCTGTGGCCGGCGGGTAGATCATTGCGCCTAGTTAGCAATTGGTGGTAAGAATCGTTAGCTGTGAAACCACCTTCCCGGGCCGGTGACGGTCGTTAGGGAGGAAGGGTACAAGGAGGTGAGGAAGGTGGTGGACGTTTTAGGTAGGTCAGTCTAGATCTGACAGTGGCCGCTGTTGGAGGTTAGTTTAGTCTACACTGGACGACCGCTACAGTGACCTTTCTCAGGTAAGTCAGTTGAGGGGTGAGAGGACGGAGTGTAAGAGAGGTGCTCAACCACTGGGAGCCATCGGGGAATCGAACGCGTACCCAGCAAGAAGCGGCGAAGCTGACGTTGTACCGACTTAGCAATTGCCAGTCTGCCTGCCGCCCACCTTCCGGTAGCGACACGGAACCTTTGTAAAGCGAGTCTGCTGCCGCTACACATGGCTGATGGCCCGCCTATTTGCGTGACGATGGCTTCTTAAATTCTCGCTGCCAGAGATTTATGTTACCATTAAGTATATCGCGTCAGCTGTTAGTGTAGGAGTCTCTCAGCTGCTTGACGAGATGTTTGGCGTGCACACGCACACGCTAAAGCCACCCATATTACCACAACAACCACACGCACGCACACACGCTAAAACCACCAATATTACCACAACACACACACACACACACACACACACACATCAAGGCAAAGTTCATTGCGACATTCTTGGCTGGGCGCCAGCTTGAGTCTGACGCCAACATGACTGGAGGCGTCGCTGGTGGGTGATGTGGTGGAGGTGCTGAGCGATAAGAGCAGCCGGCACCGGACGGACCCCAAAGAGTACGGGGAAAAGAACGGGTAAGTCTGGAAGTCTGACGCAGGGATCTGGAGCGAATCGTCAGATGTGCTGAGTCAGCATGACTAGGGGCCAGATTCACGAAGCAGTTACGCAAGTACTTACGAACGTGTGCATCTTTTCTCAATCTTTGACGACTTTGGTTACATTTAATAAACAGTTTACCAACACGAAAAAACTTGCCAATCAACTGCTGTTATTGTTATAAACAGCCTCCTGGTGCTTCGGAGCTCATTAACTGTTTAATAAGGGTAAACAAAGCAGCCAAAGATTGAGAAAAGATGTACAGGTTCGTAAGTGCTTCGTGAATCTGGCCCTAGGACAATATGACTGTAGTTTACTCACTTAGCGGTACTCACTTAGGTGTACTCGCCTAGTTGTGCTTGCGGGGCTTGGGCTCTGGCTCTTTGGTCCCGCCTCTCAACCGTCAGTCAACTGGTGTACAGATTCCTGAGCCTACTGGGCTCTATCATATCTACATTTGAAACTGTGTATGGAGTCTGCCTCCACCTATCTCATGGGCGCCTGACAGCTGGGTGGACAGCGCTTCGGATTCGTAGTTCTTAGGTTCCGGGTTTGATCCCCGGTGGAGGCGGAGACAAACTGGCAAAACGTTTCTTTCACCCTGATGGACCTGTTTACTTAGCAGTAAATAGGTACATGGGAGTTAGACAACTGCTACGGGCTGCTTCCTGGGAGTGTGTGTAACAAAAAGGAGGCCTTGATGAGGACCGGGCCGCGGGGACGCTAAGCCTCGAAATCATCTCAAGATAACCACCACATCACTGCCTAATGCATTCCACCTGTTAACTACTCTGACACTGAAAAAGTTCTTTCTAACGTCCCTGTGGCTCATTTGGGTACTCAGTTTCCATCTGTGTCCCCTTGTTCGCGTCCCACCCGTGTTAAACAATTTACCTTTATCTACTGTCAATTCCTCTGAGAATTTTGTAGGTAGTGATCATGTCTCCCCTTACTCTTCTGTCTTCCGGTGTCGTGCATTTCCCGCAGCCTGTCCTCGTAACTCATGCCTCTTAGTTCTGGGACTAGCCTAGTGGCATACCTCTGAACTTTTTCCAGCTTCGTCTTGTGCTTGACAAGGTACGGGCTCCATGCTGGGGCCGCATACTCCAGGATTGGTCTTACATATGTGGTGTACAAGATTCTGAATGATTCCTTACACAGGTTCCTGAAGTTAGCCAGCCTCGCATACGCCGCAGACGTTATTCTATTTATGTGGGCTTCAGGAGACAGGTTTGGTGTAATATCAACTCCTAGATCTTTCTCTCTGTCCGTTTCATGAAGGACTTCATCTCCCATTCTGTATCCTGTGTCTGGCTTCCTATTTCCACCGCCTAGTTTCATTACCTTGCATTTACTCGGGTTGAACTTTAGTAGCCATTTAGTAGCCAGGATCACTACAACACCTCATACAGGATCACTACAACACCTCATACAGGATCACTACAACACAATATGTAACTTACATATTCAACAGTCCGGGTTATGAAGCGCGCGCACGCGCACACACACACAAAC